ATCCCCCTCTCTCTCTCTCTCTCTCTCCCCCTCTCTCTCTCTGTCCCTCTCCTCTTTCTCCCCCCTCTCCCTGTCTCTCTATCTCTCCTCTCTCCCCCTCTCTCTCTCTCTCTCTCTCTCCCTCTCTCTGTCCCTCTCCTCTTTCTCCCCCCCTCTCCCTGTCTCTCTCTCTCTTCCTCTCTCTCTCTCTCCCCCTCTGTCTCTTCCTCTCTCTCTTCCTCTCTCCTCTCTCTCCCCCCCTCCTCCCCCTTCTCTCTCCTCCCTTCCCTCCCCCCCCTCCCCCCCCCTCCCCCCCTCTCCCCCTCTCTCTGTGTCTCTCTCCCTCTCCCCCCTCTCTCTCCCTCTCTCTCCTCTCTGTCTCTCTCTCCTCCCCCTCCTCTCTCCCTATCTCTCCTCTGTCTCTGTCTCTCTCTCTCCCCCCTCTCTGTCTCTCCTCTCTCCCACCCCCCTCTCCCCATCTCTCTCCCTCTCTCTCTCCCCATCTCTCTCCTCTCTTTCTCTCTCCCCCCTCTCTCCTCTCTCTCCCTCTCTCTCCCTGTCTCCTCTCTCCCCCCTCTTTCTCTCTCTCTGTCTCTCCCTCTCCCTCTCTCCCCATCTCTCTCCTCTCTCTCACTCTCTCCCTCTCTCTATCCCCCCTCTCTCTCTGTCCCCCATCTCTCTCCCCCTCTCTCTCCCTCTCTCTCCCTCCTCTCCCTCCTCTCTATCTCCCTCTTTTTCTCTCTCCTCTCTCTCTCTCCCTCTTCCTCTCTCTCTATCTCTCTATCCCTCTCTCTCTCTCTTCCTCTCTCCTCTCTCTGTCTCTTTCTCTCTCTTTCCCTCTCTCTCTATCCCTCTCTCTCCCTCTCTCTCTCTCCTCTCCCTCTCTCTCCCTCCTCTCTATTCCCCTCTCTTTCTCCTCTCTCTCCTCTCCCTCTCTCCCTCTCTCTATCCCTCTCTCTCCCCCTCCCTCCCTCTCTCTATCCCCCCTCTCTCTCTCTATCCCTCTCTCTCTCTCTTCCTCTCTCTCCTCTCTCTCTGTCTCTTCCTCTCTCTTTCTCTCCCTCTCTCTATCCCTCTCTCCCCCTCCCTCTCTCTCTCTCTCCTCTCCCTCTCTCTCTCCCTCCTCTCTATTCCCCTCTCTTTCTCCTCTCTCTCTATCCCTCTCTCCCCCCTCTCTCTCTATCCCCCCTCTCTCTCTCCTCTCCCTCTTCCTCTCTCCCTCTCTCTCTCTATCCCTCTCTCTCTCCCTCTTCCTCTCTCTCTCTCTTCCTCTCCTCTCCCTCTCTCCCTCTCTCTCTATCCCTCTCTCTCTCTCTCTTCCGCTCTCTCCTCTCTCTGTCTCTTCCTCTCTCTTTCTCTCCCTCTCTCTATCCCTCTCTCTCTCTCTATCCCCCCTCTCTCTCCCTCTCTCTCTCTATCTCTCTATCCCTCTCTATCCCCCTCCCTCTCTCTCTCCCTCTCTCTCTATCTCTCTCTCTATCCCCTCTCTCTCTCCCTCTCTCTCTCTCTATCTCTCTCTCTATCCCCCTCCCTCTCTCTCCCTCTCTCTCTCTCTCCCCCTCCCTCTCTCTCTCTCTC